TAATAAAAAAAAATGCGATGATAAAAGTAAATTTAAACACAAATTTATTTTTATTTTTACTGATGTTATCAACGGTTTTTACTTTTTAAGATTTTAATCAAAGGAACTTTTAAACACTTTAAATGTATATACCACTAAAGGAGTGTCCCGTGGCGATAGACACWCTTTTTCTTGTAAATTGTTAAATAGCTATATTTATATAGATGATTTTTTTGAAAATGCTGATGTATTTGAACGAGAAATAGTTTAATGAATAAACTTTGTGTACCAAATTACTAAATGCCGAGGGCAAYAGATTTGGGTGATATTGAGGTTATGTCATGATGATTTGAAAATTATAGTATATCTAATTAATACTAGGTAATCAATAATCTATTAACATCTGTATTTTTTTAATTGTCMGAGTATAACATAATATAACTTATAAGTACTTATTAGCTTGTATGGGTAGGTACATATATTGTATAGTTTTATAAAACCTAAGTATAGCATATATAAATTAATAACTTATCAGAAACTACTAGTTTGTAATTAAAATATAATTAAATACATTAAACTTTTCAAAAAAATTATCTACGTATAAATRTACAGTAAAAAAATATGTTCTCAATTTCTCATTAAAAAAAAGTTTGTATCGCCACAAGACCACTCTTAAACTGGTGTACAAACCTAAGTATCTATTTGAAAATATAATTAATAGGAAGCTATAGTCCCGCACGTGTTGTCTTCGTCTTACAAGTGTGTAACATTGCAAATTTTACGCTTAGCAGATCACGTTTAGTTTCATTAACTTAAAATTTGGAGTGAATTGACCTCTTATAAAAATTAAAGGTAACATTATTTTCGAGAGCTACTCATAGGCTTTTTATTATATTTTAATTTTAAAGCATGTTATGAGTATTTTWAGATAAACAAACCGTCTATAATTATAATACACATAACTCGCTTTAAAATTAAAATATAGTAAAAAGCCTATAAGYAGCCCTTGTTACTAATGTTACYTTTAATTTTTATAAGAGGTCAATTMATTTTAAATTTTAAATTAACGGAGCWAAACGTGATCTGCTGARCGTAAAATTTTCCATGTTACGCACTTGTACGACGGAGACAACACATGCGGGTGTAGCACTGTAGCGTCCTATTATTATTATTACAAAAATTGGAACTGGATATATTATTATGACGTATTGTTAAAGCAAAGTGGGAGTATGCCATGCTTGGTGAATCACCCTGACCACCCTGTATATGTATTATATACCTATAATAAATAAAATGCAAAATATGTATATTTATTATTTTACACTGGTTAATAATGGCTAATGACCATTATAGGTACATTATGTAGCATTATGATGAGTCTGAAATAGTGGGGATTTCCTGATAAACCTGAATCCATGCCCTACCATGAATACATTTATAATTAATAATAACACCATAGTACATAATATTATAGGTGCGTTGTATATGCGTCAAGGAACATTAGTTACAAACACGATTTAAGCCATCACACATCGTAAAATATTTTAATATTTCGCCTTGATATAGAATATCACTATATCAGTATGATGTTCAAATGTTTAAGTTTCAGTTTATTTGTGACAGCAGGTACACATTAAAATAATCTTTCAAATCAAAATGTCAACTTACTAATTACAACCAAAACATGTTTACTTTGATTAAAACCATATTTTATCAGTTTTAGCAGCTCAAAACACAGATTATAAATTCTTAGGATGTTTTTTGGAAGAAAACTTATTAACTCTTGGAGAAGAGAGCCGTATTTTAAATCCAGTAACACCTCAATCTTGTTCAGATTTTTGTTCTGAAAAACAATATACATTTTTTATTCTTAAATATGAGTATGATTCTGTTGTATTATTTTATAATAAAATTAATATATTGTTTAAAAAATATTAAGCAAAAACGCAAATTWATTGTTTAATTTTTTTAGCACCTGTTATTGTAGCAAAAATTACATATCAAGACTTATGCGACAACTTGATTTCGAATGTTCAAAAAAATGTTCAGGAGATAGTTCAGCTTCATGCGGAGGAGCGCCAAATTTAGTGTCTTCGTATATAACGGATAGTTCAAGTACCTAAGTTAAAATAATTAATTCTAAACATTTTAAATTTATATTAAAACGTTAATTCTTAATAACCCTGTATTTATGCTTTTAATCATGGGAATATGCAGGAATCAGTCATTATTTCATTAAGTACGATTTTTAAGGGTGAGTGTTAATGATGCGATGGAGGAAGTCCCCTTTGGCCTAAATATTTTTTTTAAATACAACAATAATCATGGTTCACCAATAAATGATATAATATAATTAAAAAATACAAGTAAAATGCCGTTGTCAGCTGATACTCAGAATGTCATCGAAGAATTTTATTATACTTTTATTGGTATAGAACTATTTTTGGTTTGTTTTCCATTCGACGACCGTTCCTTCTTATCGACTTCAATTATTATAATAGTATTGTTCAGTACCCATGTTGATGTTAATATACCTTTTAMTAACATAACATGTTATTAATTTTATTATTGAATCGTTCTTCTTAATTGACTTAATTCGTATTAACTACGGTAGTACCTTTCTTTTTTTTCCGTTTAAAAACAAGGAACAGATGGAAACTGTTTACTGCAATAGTGCAATACTTCCCGGTCTCGTATTATTGATTCACCAACTTCAAATTTTATACATAGAGGGGGCCTCTAATCATCATGAACAGCTGGCCTTCAGCTGTCAGCTCACAGAATTACATCACATTTAATCTACCCGTCCATCTCTTGCCTCTGCCTATGGTGCTCAGTAGTCTTCTTTTGACCAAGCACGTCACCCTCACCACCAACATACCAAACGCTAATCTCTGTTTTACCACTGACGTCTCAATCCATCGTCTCTATTATATAGTTTCTTACCCTAGTCCAGACCAAAAAACATTTTCGGAAACAGATGCGTTTCTGATATTGTCGTCGACAAATATTTATGTTACCGCTAATGACGGGAAATCAGAAATATATTGTTGACGACAAGTTTTTCTTTTGTCTGGACACCTTTAAATGTTTAATTAGATCTAATCGATTTTACTGACTTGTATTTAAAGAACCTACATTTTTTTTCAATCTTCAAAATCTGGGTAMCTATATTTAACTTATTTTTAGAACATTATCTTAAATGTGAAAATTAACAATCAAGTTGTATTTTTTGCAAAATTCTCATACGAATCGAAGTGTCATATCATTTTTACGCTTGTCGTGCGTTTTTCACGCTCGAGTCGCCGACTAAAAACAAAAATGGTGTGACACATCGATTCGTACGAGTAAACTAAAAGGTAAACATTGGTAATAGTTATTTGTTGCCATTTACCATAAGTACAAAATGAAATGTTTATCTTATCGAGTCAAAATAATTATGTTACTGCGATATCCAAAAACTGGTATTTAAGTATTAAATATTAATATAGGAACACAAATAGTTAGTTTCATTCATCTCTAACTTATGACTTATGACATTGTGGGTACTTTGTACAAGTTACCATATTTTATTACCTGTACATCTAAAACACATATCTAACTTAAATTAGTTAAATTCGATYATTTTCAACTCTGCCAACACTAGTTTTGTCATTATTTTATCATTTTAGATTCTGAGCGGAGCGATGAATGTATTGATTTTACAATGATGTGTGTTTTTATTTTATTTTTTGTGTCTGTCATCACGTTTTAGGGCAGTAAAAGTGCTTCGATTTTTGACTTCAGTACCTTGTTCGATCAGAAAATGAATCTAGTTGATACTTTGG